TGAGAGAGAGGAGGAGAGAGAGAGAGGAGAGAAGAGAGGAAGAGAGAGAGAGGAGAGAGAGGAAGAAAGAAAGAAGAGGAGAGAAAGAGAGAGAGAGAGGGAGGAGAAAGAGAAGAGAGAGAGAGAAGGAGAGGAGGAGAGAGAGAGAGGGAGAGAGAGACAGAGAGGAGAGAGACGAGAGACAGAGAGAGAGAGAAAGAAGCAGGAAATAATGGAAGCGTTATGTGAATGTACACGTAGGTCACACCTATAAATAAGAAACAAATATAATTTACCACTGATAAAAGTATATAGATTCAAGGGCATACCATTTCCAAATTTCTAAACCCTAGTCCTTGCCCTTAAACAACTTGAATAAAACAAAAACAAGAAATTAAAAGAAAGAAAATAACAAAAACTATAAAAAAAACTACACAACCCAACGCCTATAACCACAACCTTCACAGATACAACCAACAGACACAGAAAGAAAATAAATTACAAAACAGTTTATAGAAAATACAAAAATTCGCTTTTGAAACCAGAAACAACGGTACAAGCAATGTAGTTTATTTTTTTTTTTATTTCTCTTCTTCTTTCTCCGCGAAAGAGGTGCAACTTATCCGTTGACAGTCGAGTGCACTAAGTATGTAAATCCGTTGCACACAGTATAAGAATTCGACCATAAGAGCGAGCGATACAAACGATGGCGATCTTGTCTGCGTCTTTCTCATAGGTGAGTGTGATTCGGTTTTTTGGGGGGGAGGAAATGGGGGGGAGGGGAAAATGGGGGGAGAGGGAAGGGGGGGATATAGAGGGGTTCGGTTTTTGGGGGGCTGGTGGGGGAGGAGGGGGGGGGGAGGGGGGGGGATATAGAGGGTTCGGTTTTGGGGGCTGGGGGGGGAGGGGGAGGGGAGGGGGGATATAAGAGGGGTTCGGTTTTGGGGGGGCTGGGGGAAAGGGGGAGAGGGGGGGGGGATAAGGGGGTATAGAGGGGTTTGTATGTATTTTGGGGGATGGGGGGGGAGGAAATGGGGGGAGGGGGAAGGGGAAGGGGAGGGATATTTAGAGGGGTTTGTATAATGAGTGTTTTTGTATTGGGAGAGGTGTGTAGGGGGTAGGTGGATGGATAGATAGAATTAGATGGAGAGGTGAGAGAGAGAGGTGAGTGTGCGTGTGTGTGTGTCTGTGTGTGTGTGTGTGTGTGAGTGTGTGTCTGTGTGTGTGTGTGTGTGTGTGTTTGTGTGTGTGTGTGTATGTGTGTGTGAGATAGATGATAGAGCGAGAGAGAGAGGACGAGAGAGACAGAGAGAGAGTGATGAGCTGAGAGAGAAAGAAGAAGAGAGAGAAAGTCAGAGCGAGAGAAAGATAGACTGACATACAACTAGAAATATACCATGCAAATACCATCATAAACCAGCCTCCTCTTTGCCATGAACAATCTGCATGACCAAACCTTATAGGTTGTCACGTATATTGTTCCTAGTCTAATTTTTTTTTAGTCAATTCTTCTCTTACAAAATTCATGATTTCCTGTAATTCTTAAGATTTAAAGGGCTTAACAATCTATTTTCCTATCTACCTTATTTGGGACAAAGAACGCGATAACGTGATATAAAAAGGAAACTATATTTTTTTCTAGTCAGTTCTTCTCTTACAAAATCCATGATTTCCTGTAATTCTTAAGATTTAAAGGGCTTAACAATCTATTTTCCTATCTACCTTATTTGGGACAAAGAACGCGATAACGTGATATAAAAAGGGAAAAAAATTAAATTAAAGACAGGGTTGACATTTGTGAACCCCATCAGGAGAGTCTATGGACACGAGTGGATGTGGGTGGATATTCCAGAAGGGGTTTGTCCGTGTGTGTGTGTGTGTGTGTGTGTGTGTGTGTGTGTGTGTGTGTGTGTGTGTGTGTGTGTGTGTGTGTGTGTGTGTGTGTGTGTGTGTGTGTGTGTGTTGTGTTCTGTGTGTGTGTGTGTGTGTGTGCCCGTCAATATATATATATATATATATGTATGTGTGTATATATTGATATATACATATACACAAATATATACACATATATACATGCATTCGTGTCTATATACTTTACATACGGTCCTAAATGTCAGACTATTTGCCAAATTCTTTTATCACCTTCGACCTGAAAGCAACAACTTGATTTATGATTTACTTGAAAAGCATTTAAGAATTATCCTTTACTTCATTCCCAGTTTTTTGGGTTTTAATATTCCTGAATTTTATCTTATTAAAAGAAAGAAAGAAAGTAAAATCTTTATCTTTTTTTCAGTTTCAAAATCTTTTTCACTTTTATCAAGCGCTTTTTATCTTATTAAAAGAAAGAAAGTAAAATTCTCTTTGATGATTTTCAGTTTCCATTTTTTTTTTACTTTATCAAGCCCTTTTTATCTTATTATAAGAAAGAAAGTAAAATTTTTATTTTTTTTCAGTTTCAAAATCCTTTTCACTTTTATCAAAGGCTTTTATCTTATTAAAAGAAGAAAGAAAGTAAAAT